TTACAACGCCTAAATGATCTTGTAGCACAACACCTAGAACTGCCGAGCTTGGCTTCCCTCCCTGTGGCCAACCCATCCATACATTAAGCTCCATAACTCCTTGAGGTGAGCTTGGATCCTCCAACGGTCAGTCATGAGGGGTGATTTCCAAGACATGCGTAAGCCATGGGTAAATTTGTAGGTCGTGTCCAAGTGTTGGGCTTGGGAGGAGTGTGGATTAAATTTGTTGCTTTATTAAGTTTGTTACTGATTTCCTATTGAAAATAACATTTATGACATTTATGTTGAGTAATGCGTTGTTGTATTCATCATAGAATCTCAAAAAAAAAGAAAAGGAGTGTTTGTATTTGTAACTTAGTTAAATGTTAATGTATTTCATTTATATAATTATGCAGAATATTTATATGATATAATATTTTAAAATATTTTTATTAACCCAATATTAATGCGAATGACTCCATTGACCCGAGATGGAGCCTTGAATGGATTATTGTCCGATCCGATTATGATAACTATGCTATCAAATGGGTGGGTATGATTTTTTTTCCATTTTTATCTTTTTTTTTTCTTATGAAAGTTAAAAGGGAAAAAAAAACCCAAAGGAGAACGAAAGAAAATTAAAATCCAGAGGGGTCCATAGCCCAAGCCATGCGATGGCACCTGAAAGTCTCACGCTTAGGCTTTGGCTCAGCTTGCCTATCTAAACCCTCTTAAGTTATTTTTATTATTAAAATGTTAAAAAAAATTCTTATAATAATATTTTAAAACTAAAATTAAATGAAAATATAATGTTTATTAGTATTATAACAATCTTGAGCCAGGCCAGACCTGAGTCTAGAAAATCTTGCCCAAATCTCGGACCAAAACCTAGTTGAGCCAGTGGACCTATTGGGTCACTTGATCTATGTACAAATCTACCAAAATTCAAATATATTTTTGCATGAAAAAAGTTTATATAAGTTACTCCTTAAGCTTAAGGTAATGATTACCCATTAGATATATACCCATGAGCACGTATATATTATGATTATTTTTTAGTAATCAAGCATTCATTTACTACCTTTTTTCTTAAATGAAAAAAGAAGCTCCTACCATTTATGACCTTGTTTAAAATATTGAGTAACACTATAGATGGGAGTGCCAAGCCAACTTGAGTTAATTAATGGGTGCAATTTGGGAGATAAATATTAAAAGTGTAACAGATGTGAATGAATTAGAACTTTAAAATTCAACTATTTCAAAGAGGAATAATAGCCAAAACTTAAGTATGGTTTGTGACATGATCTTCATAGATAAGAGTAAACCAGTAGGAAGAATAAACAAGACTAATTAGTTCACATGTAATCCAGGAGCAACGTGCACCTGCAGTGAATTTTGCATTACACTAGTAAATCATGTCCTTTCAAATTAGACCGCTTGAAATGCCAAACCAAGTTTGCCACAAAGTACTCAGTGTGAAGCATTGCCAAATTATATGCTGGGCACATCCGCCTCCCTACACCAAATGGCA